TTTAATTGGGAAATTTCCCTTTTTTTTTTTTTTTTTCAAAAATGGCAGAAAATCTGTCAGATCTCAGCAGCAAAATAAATCATTAAAAAGCGGCTGAGCCCACTAATCTGCTTTAAGCACATTACTAATAAATGAACACAGCCTAGTAAAGCTGATTACATTTAATTCAGAAATGCCCTTTAGCAATACTGTACAATCTCACAAATAGATTTGTTTAGCAGACACGGCCAGCACTAATAAGCAAGTAGTCATGCCACTCACAAAATGAGTTCTCTGACCTTGCAGTCGCAGGTGTTTGGGATAAATCTGATTGCAATGTTTTGATCCATATATGTTAAGCCTCGAAGGACACTGCAAATCTACCAAATCAGGATAGTAAATATTAAGCGATGCATCAAAGCTCACCTATTCACCTTTGGGTTATTTTATGGAGGAGTGGACGGGACTAGCTGTGTTAAGTCCTTTTATGCTTTTCGCAGGTGGCAGAGACTGCGCCTTATCTTCATTTGTAGAGGTTAAAGCTTCAACCGAGAAGCCTCACCAAACACACGGCGTGCAGAGACAATGCAGAGCTTTATTGGAATGACGGATGGGGTCGAGATGAACAAGCCCCATTCCACATTAGCCAAGGTTCAGTGTTGAAGTTAACTTGTTGCGTGTAAGGCAGTCAACTGATTAAGAATGTTAATCAGATCAATTACACGATATGCTGATTAATTAAATTAAAATTAACTGCATATCAATATTTAAGACAAGCCATTATTATGACATTGTGTCAGATGCATAAAAAATAAGAATTACAAAAAAAGAGGCTTTATACATCAACATAGTTTTGTTTCATTACCAGTAAATGTAAGCTCATCACTAGTTCACAGTAATTCATTTTTCAGAGTTTGCTAATCTGTCCAAGGAAGACTTCACATTGAGTCTGTCATTTCTTTAAATGGTTTGACTAAGATGCGTTTTTGGTCGTTTTTTGTCTTGCGCTATGAGTGTCAAATTTTAAGATGCTTGTCATCTTGGTAACTTTGAAAATGAAAACTTGTTCTTAGTAACTTTGAAAATGTCTAGATTGCATTTTTGATTTGAAAAAAAACAAAAACATGAAAGTGGAAATTTAATTTCTCAGAAGTAAAAACTCTTACGTAATTATTTATGCTATTTACTTAAAGGTCAAAGGGCATGATTCATTCTGATCACATACATGATTAAAAGATGTATTTATTTATTTACATCCCTAGATTCAAGTAATGCACATTATGAAGTCTTTTTTTTTTTTTTTTTTCTTCAAATAGCAAAGTTAATTTTTCAACATAATATCCAAGTTACTGAATGCACATTTCTAATAAGTAATGCGTGCTTTATATTTTATTTAACTTATTTACGGATAAATACAACTGAAAACGTCTCTCTTTCCCATGTTAGGAAAAGTAAGGGTATAATTAAGGTGTAAAAGCATTGTAAGAGTTGTTGTAGTATGAGTGGACATGATGGGTATCGTAGGTTTACAGATTGTCATGGTGATCAGACATGTGCAGAATGTGACCGTTTTCTTTCAGCCCACGATTCTCAATTTTCTGCTTAAAAAAAAAAATTAATTAAAATAAATTGTCAAAAATGTGACATTAGGATTTGTGATGCAATACATTTGTAACACTGCAATAAAAATCAGGAAAAGGCCTTTTCTTAATATGAAAAAGGTCTATGTCTATCAATGCAACAGTACCCTAAGGTACAAAAGCTAGTTTGTACCTTATTTACCACTGAATGGTGCATATTAGTGCCCTTTGAAAGTTTTGTATCTTTTTATTCTGAGATCCTACTATAATTTATTTTAGGCAGGCAAAACATGAGGAACAATAAGATTTGCAATGTAAAAATGCCTGAAAGCAAGCATAGTGCTGCCACTTTGAAGGAAAGGGAGTATCATGGTGGGAGTGAGATCATGGTGAGGAAAAACTAATGCAAAAGTAACGTAACATACTGCTTCCATAAAAGTAACGTTCCCCAACTCTGCATGTCAGTCTAATATTGTGGCACTTATCTCACTACCCATCTATCAGCAGTCAATGTGATGGCATTAAAAATTGCACAAATATCATCTTTCCATTCAGGGTGCTGATAATTAACATACGTGTGAGGGGAATAATTGCATCCATCGCTGATGTGCCATCACTTTAACGTCTATTGTGTGTGGCACACCGTGTGACTTCATATGAGACGCAACTGAAATGGCACCGTTCCATTTAAACTAGAGGAATCATCAGTTGCTGAAGTAATTAATGAGTGATGGATCTATTAATGAAAAAATGTGTGATTAGTATTACCTTTGCAGAATTCTTCAGAGGTTAATTAATCGAGTTCAAAGGAATGCAACACATTTCCTCTACAGGGGAAAAAAATGGGATGTGAGGAATTATTCAAGTCTAAAATGTTTATATATATATATATATATAGAGAGAG